CTTATACAGTCCATTTGGCACAGTAGTGGCCCTTCCAAGTTTGTGGCATTATTCAAAACTATTGTAGAGTACATAAGGTTTTGGGTGGTTGACCACCGGTGCGTCTTAAATGTTGAGCCACAATAAAACCGACAGATTGTGTTAAGGTTTGACTTCATTTTTAGTTTAAACAAGCCAAATAATGCAGCTGTGCTATTACAGTATCTTTGGTATTGTGAGAGGATCTGAAGATGATTAGTGTGATACTATATTTTCCACAGTATTGTTCTAGAACCAGAAATAACCTTTCTATGAGACCCAGTTATTCGATTTTGTAGCGAATAAAATACATCTAGAACACCTAATTGAAATTCAATCGTCCACATCATCAAAATCTAATCAATTTCATAACATGATATTGATCAATAAATCTCACTCCTGATTCGCAATTTGAACTCTACTAATGGTGTTTTCTTATTAGAATTCATCTGAAGGTTAATCATAATAGTAAGTACTTTGATGTTGTTTATCTCACGATACTGTCAAAAAATATTGATGGTATTATTTGTGGATATATACTATCGAAAATTTGTATCGTTGACCGATTTCATAAACTTTCCAATACTCAATGTCACTGTTCATTTTTGTTCATAACCTTGGTGAGGAATGTTGATGGAAATGAAATGACATCAAGTAGGTATTTTGTACCAGTAAATGTTCGATAGCTTCTCGAGGCAATTAGGAAGTGTTTTGAGTTTTTGTGGTAATGCAAAAGTAGGATAAGAATAGATTTTGTCAGACCACGGTTACATTATGGTCGTATCAAGGTTGAAAGCGTATGAAGTATTTGATTGTGACTTAGTTGGTGTATGGAATTATGTTTCACGAAAGCTGAATTCAATTATCTGTGAGATAGATGTGTACTACTGAAGATTATGAAGCTTGGCTTCATTTTCTATGTACATTGTCTGGCTGGTTCCAGTTCGTAATAAAGGAATCAACTCTTACTCTATCATCCTACATACCAACTGAGTGAAAACTGATTTGTTTGGTGAGTGATTCACTCATTCATTTCTGCACATCGTTTCAGTGGTGTGAGTTGTACATATTTCACTAAATTTTACTTCATTAAAGTAGAAAAAAATTGTGGATTTTATCTTTGACTTGTTGCACTTTCGAACGATCTGATACATAGTTCGATTAAGTGCCCCCAAATGCCCTGGTACGACCGAAGATGATAGTCCGCCCTACCTCTCGAAATGCTCTTACATGGCCACGCGTATGTAGCCTCTGTCAGGGAAGTCTTACTCATTGTCTTCTCGCGACATCACTGTTATTTACGAAATTGAGAGGACAAAAAGCGGATGTCCAGTTCTTTAACCAGGTTGATGGACACGAAGAGTTCACCTAGGGGAGTTGGAAAATCTTGATTCCAAACCAATAGTACACATGAGCTCCAGTATCCTGATGGAACTAATGGCATATGAACTAATTATTGGTTATTTGCTACCGTGAGACTACATCTCTTTACGTTACTCCACTGCCTTGTGGATCAGACCTTTAGGTCAAAGGCTCCGTATGTGGTCCCCTAAGAAAACCACATGGTTTGTTTTGGGCACCTGGGTAGTATCACAACTCTCATACAAACTAAGTGACGTGTGCGGCGCACGTGTGTTTGGTGCCCCTTTGTACCAATATTTATATGTTCAAATAAATAAATACTAAGCCATGTAGGTAGATGCAAACTATCCGGTTGGAGTCTCTGTCTCCACTTAGTTTGTAAGCTCCTAACTCCCCCTCCCCAATAAATTTTTTTATTCCAACAGTCCACATTTTCCCTCGAATCGTATCTTCGATGCACTATCTTTCTTAATACCTGTTATGACTCGTATGTTGAACGCTTTATTCGGATCCTAGCTATTCGGATAACCCCAGGCTAGCACTACTCAGCGACTTGAAAGACCAGAGAGAAGACACGAGTATCAGAGAAGCACTTTACTACAAGGTTCAATTATGTACAGAAAAACAGGGGTTTTATAGTAGCTAAAAGACCTTGAGATCCCATAGTAACAGTATGTTAACAGCCAATCAGGACCTTGTTATTTTAGTAGCATAGCTTCTAACTAATCGCTGATTGGTTGGTCTCTTTATGAGCCTCTCTGGAGGCTCTGATAGAGTTTATTGTAAGCCGATCTAACAATACCAATGATACTGTTACAACCTCTACTACTTTGGGATTATCTCTCTCTGTGCTAAGACAATGTGTGTACTTAGATTGATGCACTTATATACCGGGTTCTACGTTGTGACTGATTGACTATCGTCCCTATTAAACTCTGCAAAGTAATTAATAGGAAAAATAATACAAATTCATTTCGATTTACCGAAACCGTCTCCGTTAGAGAACCGCAACCGAATCCACCCGATTAATAAGCAAATTGTAAATTTATTACTGCTATAGTAAATTGGTATTTTTGTTTACTTTCCAGTAATGATTATTTTGTTGTGCAATCTTCATTAAATTAGTCGTTTTTCCACCCACTTTAAAATTGTCTTCTTACTTAATTCTTAAACTTAAGTAATTACTATTCGGTTGATTAAAGAATTGACGGAGTAAAGTGGATCTATATTGTTCTATTTCAATGGTTTTAATGATGCTGGACGATGAGAGTCCACACCAGTGACTCTAGCAGGCTTCTCACCTATTCAGTTAATTTGTTTACAGCAAATATGGATGGACGATGTGTAACGCGCGACTTCCGATATAGGTGTTGTATAATGGCTTAGGATTATGATGTAGAGTTTGGGATTTACGGTTATAGTTAGGACTAAAGGTATTTTCAGACTAACCGTAAAACTTAATACCAACCGTTAAATCCTGGACCCATAATTTCTAAATCTAAATTTTAATCCTAAACTGTAATACTAGCTCTATATCATAGCCGTAATGCCTAAATCTTATTCCTAAACCTAGGCTTAAATATCTGGTGATAATTTCGTCATTAGAATAGGAATACATGTCTTGTTTCAATTTATTCAGAGCTTAATCAATCGGAAACAATTCTTCAGTGTGATGATCTATTTCATTATTTGTAGAAGTCACACTGTTTCACTATATGAACAGTTGTTGAACATTTTGCTGGTATATGTTATCATGTACCACTGAGTTTCCACGGTGTTCAGCATTCTTTTTATATAATAGAACGTAGATTGGAATGATACCTTTTCAAATAATAAATTCTAGATGTTATGGAATGCTAGTGCTTGATGTAGTATTCTTGTGTTATTATGAGAGATTTGCAGAGATTCTTCAGTTTGAAGATATTTTGCATTACCGATTGATTTCTGGATGACCATTGGAAAATAAAAAAAAACTGGACATCTGTCTTGTACTAGTATAGTTTTCTTCTGCTGTATATACCTATGACTTCGTTAAGACTGGGACCCACTGTATGTAGCTCTAACGAAGAGTGAATTACTTTTGGGCTACTGAGTTAGCATTCCAAAGACAATTTCAGCCAATTCATGAAAACTGTATGACCAATGTTTATCCATATATGTAATGCCTTGTAGCGAATAACATTTTTACACACGTACAAGATTAATTCTTACTTTAGGTTACATGAACTGTTCTAATTTTCTCAGTCATTTTGTTATTCATATATGTGACATTGAGCACGGGAGCATAATCGTACGATCCGTCTTTATGCTTGTTTGTATCTTTCATATCTGTGAATATTGAGTCACTTTTTAATCAAACTGAGTTGGCTGGTCCGTCTTCTCTATCTCTCATCTTAACATCTGTCTCAGTAAATGAGTTGTTGAAATAAATTCTTCCAACTTAATTCGTGCTTGACTTTTTGTTGCTACCGTCACCAAAACGGAGTTAACCCAAGTTGGATAGGCGAAATAATCTGTAGAATTTATCTTCATGACTTAATTCAAACAGAGAGTCCGATCACAGGCCTAGAGTTTGTCTCAACTCTGATGGTGAACAAACTGTAAACGTAAATGAATTGCTATGAATATGTCTATTAATTCCTATTATAAATAAAACCGTAAACTATATTTTGACACAGAGTGTATAGAAGTAGTCAGTAGAATACTCTTAATTGAAATTTCGTACTAGTTGCCATTTCTGCAGTCATAAGGATAATTACTCATTAATCAGTCACCGTACGTATCTAAATCCTACAGAAGACGATTTGTGACTTAAATAAGTCAGTGGAATAGTTTCCGACTATGAGTCTTGGTGATGTGAATTAGAATCCTTCATAAGTTATCAATAACCTCAAGATTAAAAGTACTCCTACTAACTTGTTACATGGGTTCAAGGTTTCCTATCGACTATCCTCATTCATCTAACATCAAAATGTAATCGAAACAATATTGAATGAATTAATTCAATCGTTCAATTGCAATTATGAGTAATAGGATTCTCATAATTGAAATCATGAATCGATTGAAGCTAGACCACCATGGAAAACCTGAAAGCACTGGACGGCAGACTTGTCCTATTATGGGACTCCTCAGTGGCAGTGTGCATCCACGATCCCGCCTGTCCTTGGTGGTCAAGCTTCAATTAACTCATGATTTCAACTATGCAAATACTGAAATCTCCACAAAACTCATTCTGATCTATGATCATATGCTCACTAGTGACTGACTTCAAGAGATATTTCCTGGACTTCTAGTGGTAAGCAGTAATCAATGGAGTTCAACCATGTCTGTTGTAAAGATATCAACTCACTGAAGACAATTGGTGAACATTTGCTCAAACTTCGTGCACTGTTTGAAGTTAGACATTAAAACCGTCGGATGCCGGCTCAACGGTTTATCGTCGCGAGACTGGATTCGAATCTCGCTTGCATGTGGTATCGTGGATGTTCACTTCTGAGGAGTCCTATAATAGGACGTAATGGTCATCCAGTGCTTCCAGGTTCTCCATGTTGGTCTAGCTTCAATTGGCTCATAATTTCAACTATGAAAATATTGATAAAATGTGATCAGAACTAATGAAATAAACAAATATGACATTGACTTATATTCAGTAATAAGTCGTTATATAAATGATTAAATATAGAAAAAAACAAAACAAACAAGAACAAAAAATATGAGATAATTATGAAATGCATTAGAGTGTAAGTGAATTCTCGTTTCTTTTTCTTCTTTAAAATAAATATGAGACTTATGATGATTGATGTCATTATGCCTAAACATTGAAGAAGAAGAAGAAGAACAAGGAGTGTGCCTTTTCTCTTCTGTTGTTGTTGTCGTTGTCGTTGGCGTTGTTTTTCATTTCATTATGAAATAATCAAAATAATGATGTGGAACTTTCGAGAGTTATTGAGAGGAAATTCAATGAAATTTTTTAATGGTAACATAGAGGAATGTGAAAAATGTTTTTGTGTTTTGTTTTTAATAACACTCCTTTCCCACCTCCTCTCACCCCTCTTTCACACACACACACACACACACATAGAGACCCCCTTTGATTAGTTTACCTTCGTATTCCATATTATTCACCAGTATTTGTTTTGTTTTGACGACAACGATATTGATGTCTATTCATGTTTCTAGGGCTATTCTTCTTCTTGTTCTTTTTTGTACATTTACATGTTAATATATTCCATAGCTTATTACGATAAAATTGAAAGAATACAGTATATGTATAACCATTTAATGCATAATTTATATCTTTTATTGATGTTAATAAACGTGATAAATGAGCATATAATAAATGTTCACATTTTGTATGTTTATAATTTAAATTAGCTCTTATTGTTAAACTAATACTAACTGGAAATGTAAAACATAAATAAAAAAATGATAATAATAATAATGCAACAATACGACCTAATTCTTTACGATCTTCTATAATTGTATGACGACGACGTTTTATTAATGAATTTATTGTTAATCGAAATGAATTCTCTTGTTCTGTTGTTGTTGTTGCTAGGGGTGATGGTGATGTTGTTTCTAGGGGTGTTGTTGTTGCTGGGGGTGGTGGTGATGTTGCTAGGGTTGGTGATGGTGATAATGTTTTATTGATTGATGTAAATTCATTTAATGATAAATTCATTTGTTCATCATTACTCCAATTCATAAATTTTAAATTATTATTTATTGTTTTACATAATATACGTCGTTTTGATTTAATACTAATTAATTTAATAAGTATTATTAAATTAATAAATACTAATAATATACATGGTACCATATAAGTTAATACTGTACTAAATAGAAAAGATAATAAATCTTTATTATTAATTTGATAACCATTTGTACTTAATGCACATGTTAATGAAGGGGATGAACCTAAATGAGAAAGAAAAGAAAAAAAAAGGGGGAGGGAATGTTGATATCTGATATGAACTGGGAAACAAGAAGCTTTAACAAATTATGGAAGTTATTTTTTTTTTGGGGGGGGGGATTTTATTTCATTTCATTCAAAGTTTGTAAAATTGTAACATTTACTTTTGTCCATAGTCTATTCTACAGATCATGAGTTTTCATTTGATGTATGATTTATTGCCATAGCCTTTTCTATTAGTTCCAAAGCTATTGTGACTTAGACATAACCTTTTGTACTCTAGTTTTTACTCGAATCCCCTAGATTTGGATATAATTGTGTTTCCCTAATTATTGTAGGTTGTGCTCAGGTTAGTCATCTATATTATTCATGTATCTTTTCACACTAATCTAAATTCGGAATTCGGGTACCAGATCGGGATTGGAATAAAGGGAGTAGTGTTCCAGTTGTCTTTTCTTCTCTCTCTCTCTCTCTCGTGCTTGTCAGCCAATCAGATGATACGTTTTGTCATTTCTAGTTTCGGTTAATATTACTTATCACAGACTGATAATGTTATGGTACGGTCGAGAGTTTGAGAGTCAGCTCTCCTTCTCGAAATGCTCTCACACGACCACGCGTAAACAGCTACTATCAGCGTAGTCCTACTCAATGCCTTCCCAAGACTTTACTGTTGTTTACGAAATCGAGAGAACGAAAAGTAGCTGTCCAGTGCTATAACCAAGTTGCCGGACACATAGAGTTCACCTAGAGGAGTTGGAAAATCCTGATTCCAAACCAATGGTGCACATGGGCTCCAGTATCCTGAGGGAACAAATGGCGTATGAATCAATCGTTGATCACCGACTACCGTGTGACTGCATCTCACGATGCTCCACTGCCTTGTGGATCGGATCTTTAGGTCAAAGGCTTCGGGTGTGGCCCCCTAAGAAAACCACCTGTTTGAGTTTGGACACATGAGCAGTATCACAGCCCTCACACAAATCAACGATAATTGCTACTGGCCTCATTGTTATTGTGTGGCGCATATGTATTTGGTCCCCCCCTTGTACTAATGTTTGTGTGTTGAAATAAATAAAAAAGATATTAGTTGAAGAACCATTGAATACTAGGAATCTTTGGACAGCTTTTTTGCTACAATGTGAGTCTCATTAGCAGTTTAAACCAGTGATCGGATCATAGATCGAATACAGGACCTTCAGATTCTGCGAGAAACGCGTAATCATCAGACTATTGACTTATTAGGTAAACTTAAATCAGTCTTATTATGACTTGTTAGTGTTGTTATAACAATGATTGGTACTCAGATCTTTCAAAACCTTGGTAATGAGCTACTGCTATGTAAATCACATCTATAAGTGCCCGATCCATCCTTACTTTTAGTACTGTATGGGTTGTGATACTTAATTGTTTTTTCTCAATATACAAAATTTCTTGTGAAGGTCCTATCTTCTCATATTCTTCACGTGTAGTTGCCACCTTTTCCGCTCAGTACCACTGGATTCACTTTGATGTAAGAGTAGTCTCCCATTAGTCCTTATTATGGACCCCAATCAAACTTGTACAAATCATAACATAACTAATATGAATATTAATAAGTCAACTGCATTGAGAATCTCTGAACTACAACATGGGTTCAATCACCATGTAAGTCATCAATAAGAATGAAGTCATTTGGTTATTAACTACTCATGAGTAGTCTAAGCCTTCATTTCGAAAATGTCAGAAAAACAATACAAGATTATATCAGAAGGGGTTTTGTGGAGATTTTAGTATTTTTATAGAGTTGAGATCATGAGTCAATTGAAACTCTATAAAAATACTAAAATCTCCACAAAACCCCTTCTGATAATAATCAGGTGCTCACTAGTGACTGACTCCTTGAGGTATTTCCTGGAGTTCTAGTGAGAAGCAGTAACCGGTGGAGTTCAACCAGGTCTGTTGTGAGATAGGAACTCACTGATGACATTGGTGAATGGTTGCTCAATTTCGTGAATCAGTTGAAGTTAGAAATTAACACCGTTGGATGCCAGCTCAGTGGTCTATCGGTTAAGGGCTTCGGCTCGAAACTGGTAGGTCCTGGGTTCGAATCCCGCGAGAGTGGGTTCGTGGACGCGCACTGCTGAGGAGTCCCATAATAGGACGAAACGGCCGTCCAGTGCTTCCAGGTTTTCCATGGTAGTCTAGCTTCAATTGACTCATGATCTCAACTCTATAAAAATACTAAAATCTCCACAAAACCCCTTCTGATAATAATCAGGTGCTCACTAGTGACTGACTCCTTGAGGTATTTCCTGGAGTTCTAGTGAGAAGCAGTAACCGGTGGAGTTCAACCAGGTCTGTTGTGAGATAGGAACTCACTGATGACATTGGTGAATGGTTGCTCAATTTCGTGAATCAGTTGAAGTTAGAAATTAACACCGTTGGATGCCAGCTCAGTGGTCTATCGGTTAAGGGCTTCGGCTCGAAACTGGTAGGTCCTGGGTTCGAATCCCGCGAGAGTGGGTTCGTGGACGCGCACTGCTGAGGAGTCCCATAATAGGACGAAACGGCCGTCCAGTGCTTCCAGGTTTTCCATGGTAGTCTAGCTTCAATTGACTCATGATCTCAACTCTATAAAAATACTAAAATCTCCACAAAACCCCTTCTGATAATAATCAGGTGCTCACTAGTGACTGACTCCTTGAGGTATTTCCTGGAGTTCTAGTGAGAAGCAGTAACCGGTGGAGTTCAACCAGGTCTGTTGTGAGATAGGAACTCACTGATGACATTGGTGAATGGTTGCTCAATTTCGTGAATCAGTTGAAGTTAGAAATTAACACCGTTGGATGCCAGCTCAGTGGTCTATCGGTTAAGGGCTTCGGCTCGAAACTGGTAGGTCCTGGGTTCGAATCCCGCGAGAGTGGGTTCGTGGACGCGCACTGCTGAGGAGTCCCATAATAGGACGAAACGGCCGTCCAGTGCTTCCAGGTTTTCCATGGTAGTCTAGCTTCAATTGACTCATGATCTCAACTCTATAAAAATACTAAAATCTCCACAAAACCCCTTCTGATAATAATCAGGTGCTCACTAGTGACTGACTCCTTGAGGTATTTCCTGGAGTTCTAGTGAGAAGCAGTAACCGGTGGAGTTCAACCAGGTCTGTTGTGAGATAGGAACTCACTGATGACATTGGTGAATGGTTGCTCAATTTCGTGAATCAGTTGAAGTTAGAAATTAACACCGTTGGATGCCAGCTCAGTGGTCTATCGGTTAAGGGCTTCGGCTCGAAACTGGTAGGTCCTGGGTTCGAATCCCGCGAGAGTGGGTTCGTGGACGCGCACTGCTGAGGAGTCCCATAATAGGACGAAACGGCCGTCCAGTGCTTCCAGGTTTTCCATGGTAGTCTAGCTTCAATTGACTCATGATCTCAACTCTATAAAAATACTAAAATCTCCACAAAACCCCTTCTGATAATAATCAGGTGCTCACTAGTGACTGACTCCTTGAGGTATTTCCTGGAGTTCTAGTGAGAAGCAGTAACCGGTGGAGTTCAACCAGGTCTGTTGTGAGATAGGAACTCACTGATGACATTGGTGAATGGTTGCTCAATTTCGTGAATCAGTTGAAGTTAGAAATTAACACCGTTGGATGCCAGCTCAGTGGTCTATCGGTTAAGGGCTTCGGCTCGAAACTGGTAGGTCCTGGGTTCGAATCCCGCGAGAGTGGGTTCGTGGACGCGCACTGCTGAGGAGTCCCATAATAGGACGAAACGGCCGTCCAGTGCTTCCAGGTTTTCCATGGTAGTCTAGCTTCAATTGACTCATGATCTCAACTCTATAAAAATACTAAAATCTCCACAAAACCCCTTCTGATAATAATCAGGTGCTCACTAGTGACTGACTCCTTGAGGTATTTCCTGGAGTTCTAGTGAGAAGCAGTAACCGGTGGAGTTCAACCAGGTCTGTTGTGAGATAGGAACTCACTGATGACATTGGTGAATGGTTGCTCAATTTCGTGAATCAGTTGAAGTTAGAAATTAACACCGTTGGATGCCAGCTCAGTGGTCTATCGGTTAAGGGCTTCGGCTCGAAACTGGTAGGTCCTGGGTTCGAATCCCGCGAGAGTGGGTTCGTGGACGCGCACTGCTGAGGAGTCCCATAATAGGACGAAACGGCCGTCCAGTGCTTCCAGGTTTTCCATGGTAGTCTAGCTTCAATTGACTCATGATCTCAACTCTATAAAAATACTAAAATCTCCACAAAACCCCTTCTGATAATAATCAGGTGCTCACTAGTGACTGACTCCTTGAGGTATTTCCTGGAGTTCTAGTGAGAAGCAGTAACCGGTGGAGTTCAACCAGGTCTGTTGTGAGATAGGAACTCACTGATGACATTGGTGAATGGTTGCTCAATTTCGTGAATCAGTTGAAGTTAGAAATTAACACCGTTGGATGCCAGCTCAGTGGTCTATCGGTTAAGGGCTTCGGCTCGAAACTGGTAGGTCCTGGGTTCGAATCCCGCGAGAGTGGGTTCGTGGACGCGCACTGCTGAGGAGTCCCATAATAGGACGAAACGGCCGTCCAGTGCTTCCAGGTTTTCCATGGTAGTCTAGCTTCAATTGACTCATGATCTCAACTCTATAAAAATACTAAAATCTCCACAAAACCCCTTCTGATAATAATCAGGTGCTCACTAGTGACTGACTCCTTGAGGTATTTCCTGGAGTTCTAGTGAGAAGCAGTAACCGGTGGAGTTCAACCAGGTCTGTTGTGAGATAGGAACTCACTGATGACATTGGTGAATGGTTGCTCAATTTCGTGAATCAGTTGAAGTTAGAAATTAACACCGTTGGATGCCAGCTCAGTGGTCTATCGGTTAAGGGCTTCGGCTCGAAACTGGTAGGTCCTGGGTTCGAATCCCGCGAGAGTGGGTTCGTGGACGCGCACTGCTGAGGAGTCCCATAATAGGACGAAACGGCCGTCCAGTGCTTCCAGGTTTTCCATGGTAGTCTAGCTTCAATTGACTCA